AGGTGCTTTTTTTTGTATTTGCTTTTTGCATGAAAAACATTTTGCCACTTCTGCTGGCCTCTGTGGTTTGTGGTGAGAAATCTGCCATTCAAATAATGTTTCCTCTTTAGGTAAGGTGTTGTTTTCTCTTGCTGCTTTCAACAATTCTTCTCTCTTTGGTTTTCAGAAGTTTGTGATGTGTTGTGGCATGGATTTCTGTGGGTTTATTCTGTGTCGTGCTTGCTCAGCTTCTCAAATCTACAGATTTTTCTTGCCAGAGTTGGCAAGTATCCAGCCATTATTTCATCAATTACGTTTTCTTTTCTTTTTTTTTTTTTGAGACGGAGTTTCGCTTTTGTTACCCAGACTGGAGTGCAATGGAACGATCTCGGCTCACCGCAACCTCCGCCTCCTGGGTTCAAGCAATTCTCCTGCCTCAGCCTCCCGAGTAGCTGGGACTACAGGCACACGCCACCGTGCCCAGCTAATTTTTTGTATTTTTAGTAGAGACGGGGTTTCCCCATTTTGACCAGGATGGTCTCAATCTCTTGACCTCGTGATCCACCCGCCTCGGCCTCCCAAAGTGCTGGGATTATAGGCGTGAGCCACCGCGCCCGGCCATCAATTACCTTTTCAACCTGGCCCTCTTTATCCTCTCTGCCTGGAACCCTGATGACACAAATATTAGATCTTTTGTGGTATTTCCACAGGTCCACAAAGCTCTGTTTTTTCATTTTGTTTTCAGTCTGTTTTCTCTCTCTTGTTCAGATTGGGTAATTTCTATTGTTTTGGGTTTTGTTTGTTTGCTTTGGAGACAGAGTCTCGCTCTATTGCCCAAGCTGGAGTGCAGTGGTGCCATCTCAGCTCATTGCAACCTCTGCCTCCCAGGTTCAAGTGATTGTCCTGCCTCAGCCTCCTGAGTGGCGAGTGGCTGGGATTACAGGCATGCAACACCATGCCTGGCTAATTTTTTTTATTTTTAGTAGATAGAGACAGGGTTTCACCATGTTGCCCAGGCTGGTCTCAAACTCCTGAGCAATCTGCCCCCCTTGGCCTTCCAAAGTGCTAGGATAAGAGGTGTGAGCCACCATGCCTGGCCTAATTTCTGTTGTTCTATCCTCCAGTTCAGTTATTTTTTTTTTCCTCTATCACTTCCATATCTTTTTTCCTCCCAGCTTCTGTTGGGAAAAACTCTGTTGTTGAACCCATCCACTGGGATTTTAAATTCACTTACTGCATTTTTCAGTTCTAATACTTCCATTTGGTTTCTTTCCTTTCCTTCCTTCCCTCCTTCCCTTTCTTCCCTTTCTCTCTCTCTCTTTTTTTTTTTTTCTTTTTTTTTTGAGACAGAGCCTCAGTCTATCACGCAGGCTGGAGTGCAGTGGCATGATCTCGGCTCACTGCAATTTCTGCCTCCCAGGTTCAAGCGATTCTCCTGCCTCAGCCTCCTGAGTAGCTGGAATTACAGGCACAAACCACTAAATTTTCACCATGTTGGCCAGGCTAGTCTCAAACTCCTAACCTCAAGTAGTCTGCCCACCTCAGCCTCCCAGAGTGCTGGGATTGCAGGCAAGAGCCACACCACCTGATGGATACCTGAGCTAAAAATACAAAAACTTACCCAGGTGTGGTGGCAGACAATTATAATCTCAGCCAAAGGAGAAGCTCTAGCAGGAGAATCGCTTGAACCCAGGAGGTGGAGGCTGCAATGAGCTGAGATCACACTACTGCACTCCAGCCTGGCAACATAGCAACACTCTCAAAAAAAAAAAAACAAAAAAAACTTCAATGCCTTCCATAAGATCTATAATAAAACCCCTGTCTCCTCTGCCGCCTGACTGCCTCTCCAACATCTCTTACTACTTTCTGCTTGCTCAGTAGGCTCCAAATTTATTTATTTAATCCATAATGAGCACATACAATGTACCAGTTTTTGTTACCAATAAACAAAGCAATCAAAATTCCCTTTTCTTGGTGAAGACACACAAAAACCAATAACCCTAATAAACGAGTAAATGACAAAATATGTTTGTTTGGAGGTAGAGGCTTACTCTAGCTCAGACTGGAGTGCAGTGGTGCAATTTTAGCTCACTGCAGCCTTGAATTCCCAGGCTCAATGGATTCTCCTACCTCCTTAGCCTCCTGAGTAGCTGGGACTATATGCCCAGTTTAGACAAAATATGTTAGAAGGCATATATAAATTGGATAGGAAAGTAGATCATGTAGGGCCATTAAAAGGACTTCAGGTTAAATGTTGTTCTTCATAAAAGCCTTATTCAATCACCCAATTAACTGTTGTCTCCTTCTCCCCTCCATCTCTTTACCTTGTTTTCTTCATAGCACCGGATACCTGAGACTTTTTTTGAGACATGGTCTCACTCTGTTGCCAGACTGGAGTGCCGTGGCACCATCTCAGCTCACTGCAACCTCTGACTCCCTGATTCAAGTGATTCTCCTACTTCGGCCTCCTGACTAGCTGGGATCACAGGCATGCGCCACCATGCCTAGCTAATTTTTGTGTTTTTAGTAAAGACAGGGTTTCACCATGTTGGCCAGGCTGGGCTCGAACTCCTGAGCTCATGATCCATCCGCTTCCACCTCCCAAAGTGCTGGGATTACAGGCATGAGCCACTGTGCCCGGTCTACCTGAGACTTTTTTTTTTTTTTGAGAGGGAGTCTCGCTCTGTCACCCAGGCTGGAGTGCAGTGGCACAATCTTGGCTCACTGCAACCTTCACCTCCTGGGTTCAAGCAATTCTCCTGCCTCAGCCTCCTGAGTACCTGGGATTACAGGCACGCACCACCACACCTGGCTAATTTTTGTATTTTTGGTAGACCCAGAGTTTCGCCATGTTGGCCAGGCTGGTCTCAAACTGCTGTATTCAAGTGACCTGCCCACCTTGACCTCCCAAAGTGCTGGAATTATAGGCCTGATCCACCCCACCTAGAGGGTAGCTCAATAGCTGAGACTTTTTTTTTTTTTTTAGATAAACGCTCACTCTTGTCACCTAGGCTAGAGTGCAGTGGAACAATCTAAGCTCATGGCAACCTTCACCTCCCGGGTTCAAGAGATTCCCCTTCCTCAGTGTTCCAAGTAGCTGGGACTACAGGCATTCGCCACCATGCATGCCCGGCTAATTTTTGGTTTTGTATTTTTAGTAGAGACGAGGTTTCACCATGTTGGCCAGGCTGGTGTGGAACTCCTGACATCAGGTGATCTGCTTGCCTTGGCCTCCCAAAGTGCTGGGATTAGAGGCATGAGCCAGCTTGCCCGGCTCTGAGACTTCTTGATGTATTTATGTGTTGACTTGTGTATTGTTCCCTAACTAGGGGTTTATCTGACTCTTACTATGGCTCTCCTGTTTCAAATAGAACCTGGCACATATCAATACTTTTATTGAATGATGGATAAATATGTCTTCAATGCCTTAATTTACAATGTGTTTCTGGTATTCCCATCAGGACCTGTAGGCACACAATACATTAATGACAGATATTTTCACATAAAATCATTAAAACTTGGGCTAAGAAAAACTCTGTAGGCTTCCTATAGCTCTTTAAGGTCTCAAACAATTTTTCAAGTCTGGTTAAAGCTGTGGTGGTGTTTTCCAGGATCTGCTGTTCCTGTTTATGACTAAAAGGGAAACAAATCGCAATTCTTTCACTGTTATTATTATTATTATTTTGAGATGGAGTCTCGCTCTCTCACCAGGCTGGAGTGCACTGGCACTACCTCGGCTCACTGCAACCTCTGCCTCCCGAGTTCAAGCGATTCTCCTGCCTCAGCCTCCTGAGTAGCTGGCACTACAGGCGCATGCCACCACACCTGGCTAATTTTTCTATTTTTTGTAGAGATGGGGTTTTGCCATGTTGGCCAGGCTGGTCTCGAACTCCTGACCTCATGTGATCCATCCACCCGCCTCAGCCTCCCAAAGTGCTGAGATTACAGGCATGTGCCACCATGCCTCTAAGAGTGATCTGGCAGTCACACCTCTGCAAGGTTAGAGATGTCAAAGGGAGTCCTGGTCTAGGCAGAAATGGGAGAGTGACACGAAGTACAGGTGCTTGTGCCGGGCGTGGTGGCGTACTCCTGTGAGTACTCACTGTGGGAGGCCGAAGTGTGAGGATCGCCTGAGACCAAGAGTTCGAGGCCAGCCAGGGCAACATAGTGAGACATTGTCTCCATTAAAAAAAAAAAAAGATCAGAATGCCTCACAAAATTCAAGAAATACAGTGACTTCAAGTGGGTTGGTTTCATTATAGCTCAAGCAGCAGACAGAGGACACGGACCGGGAAGAAATCACCCCACGCAGATGACAACTGAGGAAGGGGGAGTGGGGACTGACACGCTATAGTGAAGCCGGGCACCCCAACCAAAGGCGGTCCTAGGACTGCGACTAGGCGGGCGCAGAGGCCACCCCCCAGGCTTCGCGGGCGGGTGAGGGCAGGGCTGGGGGCCTGCTCAGTCTGGCCTTGAGGAGGGCCTTCTGAGGTCTCCCTTCTTCCCATCGAATCCCCGAGCAGTTCCCAAACAGAAATCGGAGACCAGACGGTGCCTGCGCTCCAGCCCTCTCAGGAGGACTGCACCTCGGGCCTGGCTACGAGGCGGGTCAGAGTCTGCGAAAGACCAGCGAGGGCTCTCGGGTTCTGGGGTAGGCGGCGGGTACCCACCCCCGCGCCTTCCCCAGCCCGCACTGGGAGCTGCGCGGCGACCCGGAGAGCCCGACAAGCCGGGTAGGGCTGCGGCGCAGGTCGTGCTCATGCGGAGGAAACAGCCGCCGCCCCAGCTGACGGAGTGTGGTCGGGGGCTTCCCAGAAGAGGCGGCGAGAGCAAACCCTTTCGAACATTTCCACCAGGCTAGCTCACGTAGCCTCGGCCCCGCCCCAGCCACTCCCGCCACCGCCCCCACCGGCCGACACGACGCGGGTGGGGCAATCTGCGCCAGCCCCTTTAAGAGGCGTGGTGACGTGCTCCGCCCCCACCTGCCTCTCGCGCGCCAATAAGGGGTGGGGTGTGGGAGGAGGTGCCGGGAGGCGGGGGAGTGAGGCGTGCACAGTTGCGCAGGCGCGGTGGTCGGACGACAGATCTTGTATTTCCAAAATGGCGGCAGCGATGGATGTGGATACCCCGAGCGGCACCAACAGCGGCGCGGGCAAGAAGCGCTTTGAAGTGAAAAAGGTTGGGTCTCGCCAGCACCTTCCTCAGGGAAGCTAGAGAGGCGCGGATCTGGCTGGCAGGCCCCAGGATGGTCGAGGCGCGGAGTAAAGGGTTTCATTTCAGGGCGTTCCTGGGACCGGGTACCACGAAAGGAAGCCGGGGGGCGGGTCTTAGAGTTGATCGGCGTGACGGTGGCCCACTGTCAGGGACGTGTTGGTTTCGCTGTGAGGCTGAGGGGCCAATCACGGAGCTGCTTATTGAGATACGCGGGGTTGCGATTTGGCGGCAGGAGCCAAGCGCTTGAGCTGTCACTGGAGTGGTCGAGGTGGGGGAAGGACAGGGTGGGGTAGGGTGGGTGAAATGGGGAGTCGGAGTGACTGCGGCGGTGGAGGATGGGGCAGTGCGGCGAAAGCTGGGAACAATCTGAGGTCGTACTGCATTGGAGGCCTCTGAGGGACCCCGCTGGTGATCTTGCCCCGCCCCTTTTTGAAGCTTGGGGTCCTCTCACTTTGAGGAATCCAGACTTGGTGCTCGCCGAACCGAGGCCTCCATTAACCCCATCTCTGGGCCTCACACCGTCTAAAGAGTCTGGAGTGTAGTGCTTGGCTCTTCTGAGACGTCTGTTGTCTTTTCACATAACCATCTCAGTCCTGGGTTCTCTGTCACGTCCAGAATCTCCCCCTTCCAAAATAAAAATAAAAAGCATGGTGGCATTTGTTAAGAAAATCCGAGCCCAAATCCTGTGGCATTTAGGGAGGGTTGAGTACTAGTCGTGAATGACTTGGTAAGAGTGGAAAAGCAAAAATGGAACGTGTCTTTTTATATGAAATGCCTTTTAGTGGTTTGCCACAGTTTGGGGGACAGTGTCGATTCCCACCTAACATGAAAGCTGTTCAAAATGGAGATTCTGAAATAGGGAAGATATTCCTGGAACATCTGGTTAAACACTGACATATCCCCCCTCCTAGTGCTTTTTGGTGTCTCATTGTGGCCACTGCTGCTCAGTTACAGCCAGCAGCCATATTGAAGAATAATAGAAGAGGGGCTTTTCCTCCAAGTTGAAACTGTGATGTGAAAAGTGGGAAAGAAGTTATAAGGCACTGAGAATGGGGTCTGAAAGTGATGAAGGTTTGGCAGTATTCGTAACTGAGGAAGCCAGAGTGGAATAACTGAAATGCCACTTTTAGTTAAACTCTTACTGGAATTATCTCAATACAAGACATAAAAGTTGGGAACATCTGTTTATTTTATGGTAAGAATCAAACAAAATTCTAGTGAATTCTAGAATTTGTTATAAAGTAATCTTCTAAGATTTAAGTGATGACCTTGGTCTGTGTACTGACACGGGTACTTAATTATCCAGCTTATCCCATGATTATCCATTTTATGGTCCCATGATCATCTTAGTTCATTCTGTTCCCTAGCTTTCACCTCACTGCTCATGCTTCCGGAGCTTCCTGGAAGAGCAGATACTCACTCAGATTTTGAGCTCTTCTGCAACTGCCACAAAAACCTGCACAGTAATTCAAGTTTGTGTTTATTAAGCCTACAACGGGCAGTTAAAAATTGTTCCTAATTTGTTTACATTGATACGGCTGACAATTATTTTATTTCATTTTTTTGAGGCAGAGTCACCCTTTTGCCCAGGCTGGAGTAAAGTGGCACCAATGTCAGCTCATTGCAACCTCTGCCCCCGAGGTTCAAGCAGTTCTGCCTCGGCCTGCCGAGTAGCTGGGATTATAGTCAACTGCCACCATGCCCAGCTAAGTTTTGTATTTTTACTAGAGATGAGGTTTTGCCATGTTGGCCAGGCTTGTCTCAAATTCCTGACCTCAGGTGATCCCCTCGCCTCGGCCTCCCAAAGTGCTAGGATTATAGGTACAAGCCACTGTGCCTGGCCACTAACTAAATTGTTTTATTTTATTTTATTTTGAGATGGAGTTGTGCTGTTGTTACCCAGCTTGGAGTGCAATGGCACGATCTCGGCTCACTGCAACCTCCGCCTTCTGGGTTCAAGCAATTCTGCCTCAGCCTCCCGAGTAGCTGGGACATCAGGTGCGCACTACCGTGCCCAGCTAATTTTTGTATTTTTAGTAGAGACAGGGTTTCACCTCGTTGACCAGGATGGTCTCGATCTCTTGACCTTGTGATCCACCCGCCTCAGCCTCCCAAAGTGCTAGGATTATAGGCGTGCTCCTGGCCAAAGTATTTTAAACTATAAGAAACAAAAGATGACTCATTAATTTCTGTGTTGACATACGCAGCCTTTTGGAGAATGGGAGAACATACGTGTAGTCTACCGTTGTCCTTTGATATAATAAGAATAATGTAATATCCAGAAACTTGTGTTTGGTGGTTCCCCATGGCCGAAGAGGTGGTAACTGCAGCTGCAGCATGAAGTCGTAAAGAGTGTGTGTTACAAGGAGAATGCATTGTTCCCTCTTTTTGTCTTTGCAGTGGAATGCAGTAGCCCTCTGGGCCTGGGATATTGTGGTTGATAACTGTGCCATCTGCAGGAACCACATTATGGATCTTTGTAAGTAATTGGAGGAGGATGGGAGAAAGTTGAGAAGGTTACAGAGATTGTGGCTATCTTGATGTGACCAATTTTCTTCTTCACAAGGAGATAGAAGCCTATGCTGAGCACTCGGTCTTCTGTATCTAATCTGTTGATGTGTTGGAAATAGAGTAGTTTTTTTATGATGTCCTGGAAGCATACCCAGCTCTCAGAATAAATCTACTCAATCTAAAGATGGCAGGGACACATTTAGAATGAATTGTGGACAACAGGCACTATTGACTCTTCCTGGGTATCTCCCCTCTTGTACCTAGACTCGAAGGTAGAAATAGTGAACAGAGGAAAATAAACTTTGAGCTAAAATGTTCTGTCTGAGGCCAGGCACATTGGCTCACTTTGGGAGGCCAAGGTGGGTAGATCATGTGAGGCCAGGAGTTGACCGGACTGGCCAACATGGTGAAACCCCAACTTTATTGAAAACACAAAGATTAGCCAGGCATGGTGGTGCATGCCTGTAAACCCAGCACTTTAGGAGGCAGAGGCAGGCAGCTTATTTGAGGCCAGGAGTTCAAGACTAGCCTGGCCAAATGGTGAAACCCCGTCTCTACGAAAAATACAAAAATTAGCTGGTCGTGATGGTGCATGTCTGTAATCCCAGCTACTTGAGAGGCTGAAGCAGGAAAATAGCTTGAACCTGGGAAGTGAAGGTTACAGTGAACTGAGATCACACCACTGCACTACAAACTGATCTACCGCCTCGGCCTCCCTCAGCAACTCTGTCTCCCAAAAAAAAAAAAAAAAAAATTCTATCTGAGGTAATTTTTGCTGGTCATTGTTTACAAAGGAAAGAAGCCTAAGGTATAAGGATTTTGTATGTTAGCCCTAAACATAGTTAAAAAAAAAAAAAAGACATCATTTTCAACATCTAAATAGGTAATTAATTGCACTAAAGAAATTTTATTTAAATCTTTACATATTTTATTACATGTAATGGGTCAGCACGTAGTGATTCGATTATAGACTTTGATGGATTGATTTCCTGTCCTTATAGTAGTAGGGACAAGAATGTTGATCATACCAGGAACAGTTGAGGTTACTTTTTCATCCAGGAACTAAAATGATTTGTTACTGAGGCTAGAAATGAAGGAAAGAAACTTCAAGTTTCTAGAATTGGAATTATAGGAACTTATATTTCAGATCACTCGCCTGCCTTTCCAACTTCATCTTGAGTTACTCCTGCTCACTGTGGTGGTTTACCTGGATGCTTTTTTTTTTCCCTAACCAACCATGGTGGCAGAAGCAGCCAAGGTCCCTGGCTACTTTTCCATTTTTCTTTTCTTTTTTTGAGACGGAGTCGCCCAGGCTAGAGTGCAGTGGTTTGATCTCAGCTCACTACAACCTCCGCTTCCCAGGTTCAGGGGATTCTCCTGCCTCAGCCTCCTCAGTAGCTGGGATTACAGGTGCCTGCCACCATGCCTTGCTGATTTTTGTACTTTTAGTAGCGACAGTGTTTTACCATGTTGGCCAGGCTGGTCTCCTCAACTCAAGTGATCCACCCACCTTAGACTTCCAAAGTGCTGGGATTACAGGCATGAGCCACCACACCTGGCTGGCTTTTCCATTTTTGAAGTGTCCATCCTCTTTTTTAGAGCCCTTATATAGCCTATTCTTTTTGCCTGGAATACTCTTTGCCTCTTTTCTTCATTGGTTTTGTCTAACCTAGCACTGTCCAATGTGAATGTAAGCCACAAATACAAACATATATAATTTAAAATTTTCTTTTTCCTTTTTTATTTTTTTCAGAGACAGGATCTCGCTTTGTTGCCCAGGCCGGTCTCTAACTGGCTTCAAGTGATCCTCCTGCTTTGGCCTTCCAAAATGTTGTAATTACAGGTGTGAGCCACTGTGGCTGGCCTGAAATTTTCTAGAACCCACATTAAGAAAGTAAAAAGAAAATAAAAAGGTGAAATTAATCTATCTTACTTAGTCTATTATAACCAAAATATTTTTATTTCGACATGTAATTAATGTAAAAAAAATGAAATATTTTACATTCTGGTTTTTGTGTGGTCTTTGAAATTCAGTGTGTATTTTACACGTACAGCACATTTGGATTCAGACTAGCCACATTTTAAGCGCTCAGTAGTCACATGTGGCTAATAGCTGTTTTATTGTGCAATGTAAGACTAACCCATAGTTGAGCTTTAGATCTTATCTTAAACTTGCTCAGTTGTTTTCAACTTGGAAGGCACAAATCAAATATTTTGTGTTGTAAAGCGTCATGGACCAGTCATGGCACATACTGGTCCTGTATTGCACTTGGCTTATTTGAGCTTTGACTCTGTTTATCTCTTCACACTACAGCCAAGGGAGATCAGCAGCTACCATCACGTTTAATATAGATGACATGGACTCATCACAGAAAAACACATGCACAATTTCAAATGTGTTTGGGTGGGGTCTTTGATTACATGCTTGCTAGTTTCTGGGCCTTGCATTTTCACAAGGAGTTAAACCCACAAAAAATTTTACTTTCTTGGGGCTCTCTTTTGAAAAGAGTTAATGATTTTATACAACCCTGATTTTTTTTCTCTATGTTTAAGTCAGTGTGTATATGTCTCTGGATATGAGAAAATGCACTTTTTAGAAGGACCACAAGGGACAAGTGATCCATATTCTGTCTTCTCTTAGAGTGAAGTGCTTGACACATCACAGTAGGCTTTCAGTTAGATATCTGTTTTGTCTCATAATATATTTTAAGTGTCACATGAAGTAGAATATTGAAATCCTGTAACAAAATTTATGAAAATATTTTCTAAGTCATATCTTTTATTTATCTAATGATATATCCTGAGCATTTGGTAGGCACCAGGATAAACCAATGACTAAGATCAGGTCTTTACCTTTTTTTATTTTTTTGAAACAGAGTCTCTCTCTTTCACTCAGGCTGGAGTGCAGTGACTCAATCTTGACTCACTGCAACCTCTGCCTCCCGGGTTCAAGTGATTCTCCTGCCTCACCCTCCCAAGTAGCTGGGACTACAGGCGTGGGCCGCCTCGCCCAGCTAATTTTTTTGTATTTTTAGTAGAGACAGGGTTTTGCCATGTTGGCCAGGCTGGTCTTGAACTCCTGACCAGATGACCGCCTACCTCGGCCTCCCAAAGCACAGGGTTTACAGATGTGACCCACTCAAACTCCTGGCCTCAAGCAGTCTGCCCTGCCTTGGCCTCCCAAAGTGTTGGGATTACAGAGCTGAGCCACCATGCCCAGACTCAAGTCTTTACTTTTAAGAAACACACTCTTGGGCCAGCGCAGGCGGCTTCTGCTGGTAATCCCAGCACTTTGGGAGGCTGAGGTGGGCGGGTCACCTGAGGTCAGAAGTTCAAGACCAGCCTGCCCAACATGGTGAAACCCTGTCTCTACTAAAAATACAAAATTAGCCAGGTATGGTGGCACTTGTGCAACTGTAATCCCAGCTACACAGGAGGCTGAGGCAAGAGAATCACTTGAACCCAGGAGGCAGAGGTTACAGTGAGCCAAGATGGCGCCATTGCACTCTAGCCTGGCCAAAAAGAGCTAAACTCAGTTTAAAAAACAACAACAACAACAACAAAAAAAAAACAGAAAGACACTCTGACTGGGTGTGGTGGCTCACACATATAATGCCAGCACTTTGGGAGGCCAAGGTGGGCAGATCACCTGAGATCAGAAGTTCGAGACCAGCCTGACCAACATGGAGAAACCCTGTCTCTACTAAAAATACAAAATTAGCCAGACTTGGTAGGGCATGCCTGTAAACCCAGCTACTCGGGAGGCTGAGGCAGGAGAATTGCTTGAACCTGGGAGATGGAGGTTGTGGTGCGCCAAGATCACACTGTTGCACTCCGGTCTGGGCAACAAGAGTGAAATTCTGACTCAAAAAATAAAAAGACTCTCTTGGCTAGATGAGGTAGCTCACACCTGTAAACCCTACAGGTGTGAGCTACCTCCAGTTTTGGGTGGCCAAGGCAGATGGATCATTTGAGCCTAGGAGTTCAAGGCCAGCTTGGGCAACATGGTGAAACCCTGTCTCTACAAGAAATTAGCCAGACATGGTGGCTTACTGCTACTTGGGAGGCTTAGGTGGGAAGATCACTTGAGCCCAGGAGGTGGAGATGACAGTGACTCAAGATTGCACCTCTGCACTTCAGCCTAGGTGAGAGAGTGAGACCTTATCTCACAAAAGAAACACTTTTTATTTTTTATTTCTTTTTATGTATTTTTTTTTCTGTTAGAGATAGGGTCTTGCTCAGTTGCCCAGTCTCGAGTGCAGTGGCATAATTATAGCTCACTGCAGCCTTGACCTGGGATCAAGCAGCCCTCCTATCTCAGCCTCCAACTAGCTAGGACCACAGGCGTGCTCTACCAGACCTAGCTAATTTTTTTTTTTTTTTAATTTTCGAAATGGAGTCTCACACTGTCACCCAGGTTGGAGTGCAATGGCATGATCTCAGCTCACTGCAACCTCTGCCTCCCAGGTTCAAGGGATTCTCTTGCCTCACCCTCCCGAGTAGCTGGGATTACAAGCATGTGCCACCATGCCTGACAAATTTTTGTATTTTTAATAGAGATGGGGTTTTTCCATGTTGGTCAGTCTGGTCTCGAACTCCCGACCTCAGGTGATCCTCCCACCTTGTCCTCCCAAAGTGCTGGGATTGCAAGCATGAGCCTCCATACCCAGCCTTTGTTTTTGTTCTTTGTTTTTTGTTTTTGTTGAGACAGTCTGTTGCCCAGTCTGAAGTGCAGTAGTGTGACCTCAGCTCACTGCAACCTCTGCCCTCTAGGTTCAAGCAATTCTCCAGACTCAGCCTCCCAAGTAACTGGCATTACAGACATGCTCTACCACGCCCAGCTAATTTTTTAGTAGAGATGGGGTTTTGCCATGTTGGTCAGGCTTGTCTCACACTCCTGGCTGCTGGTGATCCACCCACCTTGGCCTCTCATGGTGCTGGCATTACAGTGAGCCACCTCGCCCGGCCCACTTTGCATATTTTTGAAGAGTGAAAAAAAAATCCTTATTGTGGTATCTCTTCCTCTAAAACCACGTATACCCATTAACATCTAATTTTGTTGGTTTTTTTTTAAATTGTTTTACTATTTCTCACCTGTAGTGGTTTGAAGTAATTCTCCCCTATTAAATAGTTTCTTCTGAAGCTTTTTATTCTTCAGAAGGGAGATTGTTTAGTTACTATCATCAGAGAAAGCAAATTTTGCATTAGTAATTCTTGTTCTTTGAGTATTTATCCCCAGTTGTGCTTTACCCATCAGATCTTAATCTCAAAGATGTCATCTCAGTTAAGGCAACATGGTGAAACCTCATCTCTACAAAAAATACAAACAATTAGTTGGGTGTGGTGCCACGCGCCTACAGTCCCAGCTACTCAGAAGGCTGAGGGAGAATCACCTGAGCCCAGGAAGTCAAGGCTGCAGTGAGCCATGCTCATGCCACTGCACTGTAGCCTGGGCAACAGGAGTGAGATGTGCATTTCCCATTTGTTACTCTTTTTTGAGACGGAGTTTCGCTCTTGTTACCCAGGCTGGAGTACAATGGCGTGATCTCGGCTCACCGCAGCCTCCGCCTCCTGGGTTCAGGCAATTCTCCAGCTTCAGCCTCCTGAGTAGCTGGGATTATAGGCACGTGCCACCATGCCCAGCTAATTTTTTGCATTTTTAGTAGAGACGGAGTTTCACCATGCTGACAAGGATGGTCTCGATCTCTTGACTTCGTGATCCACCCACCTCAGCCTCCCAAAGTGCTGGTATTACAGGCGTGAGCCACGGTGCCTGGCCTTGTTACTCTTTTTAAACAAGGATAGGAAATAGTCAGAAAGCATACTGTTATCTCTATCTTCTCTCTTCTCCCTTTCCCACATTCATTAAAAAATAATTATGGCTAATTAACCACTTGAGAATTGTTTTGGCTGCTATAGATTGAAACCTTGCAGCTCCCAAGGTCCAGTGATCCTGTTGCTCTTGTTCCCACAGGCATAGAATGTCAAGCTAACCAGGCGTCCGCTACTTCAGAAGAGTGTACCGTTGCATGGGGAGTCTGTAACGTAAGGAAACATCTTTACCTATCAGCATGGCTTGTAAACACACTTCCACTTTTTCTGCTTTGAAAATAGGGGAAAAATGAGTAGCCCACCTTTCTTCCAAAAGGTATACAAATAGTAAAAAAGATTTTAAATCATCATACTATTCACCAGTTACAGGGTAAAAATTACTAGTTACTGCAAAGAGGCACTTGTCTTGATTATAAAGTGGACCCACTTTTGTGAGCAATGTTTTGGGGCTTCATCTGTGGGAATTGCCTTCAACACGTACATACACCCTTTGGAATATTCTCTTGGTAGAAATCTTTACCTTCGAAACAGTCTTTTTTTAAAGACCAGATGTCTCATGGAACTAAGTTTGATGAGTAAATTGAGTGTTGAAGTTTCTCTGTATGTGTGTGTGTTTTAAGTATGGCACATTAGGAATTTTTTTAACATGGCTTATGCCAGAAATGTTTTGTGTAGCTTTATTGGACTGAATGGCCTTCCAAGAGTGTGACAGCTGTGAAGGATAGCCAATATCAAATATGTTATTTCCAGCATGTGTTAAAAATTCATTCTTTAAGCTGTAAAATCCCAGTCACATGAGCTAAAATTGTCTTGTCAGAGCCTCCTGTGTCATGGGTACAGAATACCCACAGTTCTCAGCATGACTCAGGGCTAAGGGATTCTAGAGTCAGACCACCATTCCCTATCTTTGTGACTTACTTGCTAAGTGACGTTAGGCAAGGCATTTAACATCTCTAATCTTGGGTTCCCTCATATAAAATAGGGCTGATGGTAGACCCCATCAAATTGTAATCAGGATTAGATGATTTATGTTAAAATGTGATTAGAACAGCTCCCAGCACATAGTAAGCATAAGTGCTTGTTAAAAAAAATCTAAATAGGCCAGGCGTGGTGGCTCACACCTGTAATCCCAGCACTTTGGGAGGCCGAGTTGGGCAGATCACCTGAAGTCAGGAGTTCAAGGCCAGACTGACTAACATGGTGAAACCCTGTCTCTACTAAAAATAAAAATACAAAAAATTGGCCAGGCATGGTGGTGGATGCCTGTAATCCCAGCTACTCAGGAGGCAGACGCAGGAGAATTGTTTGACCCTGAGAGGCGGAGGTTGTGGTGAGCCAAGATTGTGCCATTGCACTCCAGCCTGGGCAACGAGAGCAAAACTCCATCTTAAAAAAAAATCTAAATAAATACAAATTTGAGGTAGAGGGGTTACTGTGGAGATGGTATTCTCAGTATTTTTTCCTATTGGCTTGCAACTCTCTTACCTACACTTTTTTTTTTTTTTTTTTTGAGACAGAGTCTTACTCTGTTGTCCAAACTGGAGTACAGTGATGCCATCCCAGCTCACTGCAACCTTCTCCTCCTGGGTTCAAGTGATTTTCCTGCTTCAGCCTTCTGAGTAGCTGGGTTTACAAGTGTGCATCACCACACCTGGCTAATTTTTGTATTTTTAGTAGAGTTGGGGTTTCACCATGTTGGCCAGGCTGGTCTCAAACTCCTGACCTCAGGGCAATCCTCCCACCTCGGCCTCCAAGAGTATTGAGATTACAGGCATGAGCCACTATGCCCAGCTCCTACCCACACTTTCTGGTACACCTTCTTCTGTCTCTTTTGGGACCCTTTGGCCAGGCTCACATTAGCCCATGTTGGCCAGAGGGGAGCTTTACTCTTTTATGGGGATAAAAGAAGTATACTGGGGCCTGGCAAGGTGGCTCACGCCTGTAACCCCAGCACTTTGGGAGGCTGAGGCAGGTAGATCACCTGAGGTCAGGAGTTCGAGACCAGCCTGGCCAACATGGTGAAACCCCATCTCTACTAAAAATATGAAAATTAGTCAGGCATGGTGGCGTGCACCTGTAATCCCAGGTATTTGGGAGGCTGAGACAGGAGAATCACTTGAACCCAGGAGATGGAGGTTGCAGTGAGCCAAGATGGCACCACTGCACGCCAGCCTGGGCGACAGAGCAAGACTCCATCTCAAAAAAAAAGCATATTGGGCTCTTTGCCCTCTCTAGCATGCAGACATATACTAAGAACCATGTTTATGTGGAAGAAAAAGAGAGTGAACTTCCCCTTCAGTTTGGCTAAGGAGAGATTTGCTCAGAGAGCCTGCTGTAAAGGAGAGCCGGCAAGGTGAGGCAGAAGCCTCTGGGGTGGTCCTGGGTTCTAATTCTCAGTCTTCTACAAACCAGCTCTGTGAATTAAGCAAGTCACTTGTCTGGGTTTCCGTTTCCTGCCTGTAAAATGAAGATAAAAATATCTGTCATGCTTGCCTGCCAGGGTTGATGTGAGGGCTCAAATGAGGTAATGTATGTCAACATCTTCTGTAGACTGTCAAGTACTGTAAATTTATCTTCTGAAAATTGCACTTTGACTGCTAAATATACCCATTAATACTTCTTAGTAAATGTTCAGGGGTGCTGTCACCTCCCTGCACCTCATTTACAGCCCCCTTGTCCCCAGCACTTGGTGTTCTCTCACTTAGTGGAGCTATACCAGTACCCTGTACTGCTGCAGCAAAGTGCTTAGTGGATGGGAGATGGAGAAGCTGTCCAGTAGCCTTAGGTGAGCCCGACCCCCAACACCTGGTGGTTAAGAAAAATGTCTCCGCTTTCTGCCTTTTGGAAATTCAGCTTTTTCTCTTCTTCACAGTGAGTTATTTGAGAGTCAGTAGAAAAGGGATCTTCCATAAGGCCAGCACTCTGGGAGAATATTTTTCCTGTTGGGTACCCCTAGTGTACTTGCTGTGGATTCCATTCTTAATTACTGAGTTATATTTTTTGTCTTTGTTAAAAGACATTTCAGAAGATAATAATCCATATGATATAATCCCTTAAGTTCTTACATACTTTGGGAGACATACTGACCAGATTTCAGTTGTTAGTAAGTGAAGCCTGCAAAGCTTTTGTCATTTGGTTAGGGTATGAGTTCTCCCTGTGCTGCTCCACAGCCCACCAATCACAGACGAAATGAAGGAAGCACTTGCTGCGTCTCTCCTAATACACTCATGAGCACAGGGAGGAGGAGAAGTGCTCATCGCAGAGGCATTGTGATTAACATCTGCATGTCATTAGCCCACACCAAAACACTGCACGCAGATTGTCCTTTTCCCAAATCTAAACAGACTTCTAGCTTTCTGTCAGTTACCGGTGTTCTTGGTACTCTTGTCTTTTTACTTCCTGTCTTGATTATGAAATAAGCCTTTTGATGCTCTTTAGGCTGCTTATGTGCTGTTTGTCCCTCATAAGAATACTTCCTTTTACCCCAGTTTTCTCCTATCTCATTTCCTAATACAAAGTCCCTTACCCATTAAACGCATGTAAAGTACTGAGCTCTTGTAGCATCAGTATGTCTCTGAATAAATCGGGAAGTAAAGTTTCTTTGATCAGAGCTGAGCTGGGTGTGGGGAGCTTGGGGAAGGGCCCTACTCAGTTCTAGGTGGGCGGCAGTGGCCGTGCACTTCCCTACCAAGGGCTGGGGAGAAGGCTCTGCTCCTACAGGTCGCATTCTCCAGGGGCAGGAGGATGAGAATGAAGCTTGAGGCCAGGAATGGGGATCTTTGAAGTGTGCATGTGATCAGGGGCTTCCTTTCCCAAGGAAAGTGGAAGTATCGCCTTACAGGCTGAATGGGACCAAGGAGCTACGTTTCCTGTTCTCTTAGAGAAAAGAAGAAGGCTCAGTGCTAGCACATACTCCAGTGCTTCCTAAACGATTTCCTTTAGTAGCAATGACATTTTTAACAAATGCTTTGTTGGAAATATCCTTGCACCTAACCAAGATAGAATCAGTTGTTGAACTTTTGCCTCTGTTATCTCCTTTTCTAGCCCTCTGTACGTCACCCGCGCCACTGCCCTGTGGTACCTATGGTCGGTCGAAGGCTGAGCCTGCACAGTTATTTTTAATAAACTATGTCTTTTCTTTCAGCATGCTTTTCACTTCCACTGCATCTCTCGCTGGCTCAAAACACGACAGGTGTGTCCGTTGGACAACAGAGAGTGGGAATTCCAAAAGTAGGTATCTTCGGTTATTTTGATGGGGCTTTTTAACTTTCCTCAGGCTCAAAGGAGCATGGTCTTACGGGATGAAGACATGATACCTACCTTACTTTTTAAAACTAGCTTTTGATTACTTAAGCTAGGACTTATCTGTATAGAAAATACACAAAGGATTAGCCAACATTAGACATTTGCAGCCTAGGATTTCCCAACCTATTTTTTGTTTTGTTTTTTTTAAGACAGAGTCTCGTTCTGTTGCCCAGGCTGGAGTGCAGTGGTGCTATCTTGGCTCACTGCAGTCTCCACCTCCCAGGTTCAAGTGATCCGCCGCACTCAGCCTGCCGGGTAGCTCGGATTATAAATGTGAGCCACCATGCCTGGCCATTTGTTTGTTTTTTCACATATTTTTTATTTTTAAAAGTCAGTCCCAGGCTGGATATGGTGGCTAACACCTGTAATCCCAGTACTTTAGGAGGCCAAGAGGCAGGCAGATCACATGAGGTCGGGGATTTGAGACCAGCCTGGCAAACATGGTGAAACTCCGTCTCTACTAAAAATACAAAAATTAGCCAGGCGTGGTGGCTGGCGCATATATCCCAGCTATTCAGGAGGCCCAGGCAGAAGAATCTTTTTGAACCCCGGGGGTGGCGGTTGCAGTGAGCCAAGATCACACCACTTCACTCCAACCTGGGTAACAAAGTGAAACTCCGTCTCAAAAAAAAAGAGAGTGTATATTTTTATTTATTTTTTTTTTGAGACAGAGTTTCGCTGTTGTTACCCAGACTGGAGTGCAATGGCACGATCTCGGCTCACCACAGCCTCTGCCTTCTGGGTTCAAGCAATTCTGCCTCAGCCTTTCGAGTAGCTGGGACTATAGGCGTGCACCACCATGCCCAGCTAATTTTTGTATTTTTAGTAGAGACGGGGTTTCACCTTGTTGACCAGGATGGTCTCAATCTCTTGACCTTGTGATCCACCCGCCTGGCCTCCCAAAGTGCTGAGATAACAGTTGTGAGCCATCATGCCCGGCCTATATTTTTATTTTTGATAAATAGTGTTAGTGTTTCCATTCCTAAGAATATACACTAATTTACACTCCCTCCAAATAGTGAGCAGAACTCCACTTTCTTCATTTCCTACCAGTGCTCTGTTACAAAATTTTTCCATCCTGGCCACTCTGATAAGTGGCAATCAGTATTTGATTTTCATTCTTGAATTTTCAGTGAGGTTGGGAAAATTTTCATGTTTTTATATGTCTTAGGTTTTTCTGTGAACTGCCTGTGTGTGTGTGTATCTTCCTGCACATTTTTTCTTTTGAATTATTGATCATTTTCTTTACTGAATTTTTTATGGGAAAGGAGTTTTTTGACTTAAATGTAAGTCTTTACTAAGCTATTCTTAGGTTTAAAAAACAACAACAAAAAGTATTCTTTTGTTTATGAAGTGCTTAGAAATCCATTATTGGTGCAGTGATTTTGCCTTTAAATTCAATAATTTATTTTGGTAAAACATTTGGAAGTCTTACCAATGCATATTCAGTTTTTAAGAAACCTACCAAATACTGAGTATCTAAGTGGTACTGTTGGACTCCCTTCAGCAAAATGTATGCTAAGTACTGTGTAAGGTATAAAAATGTTTGAGATGGTCCTTGGAGCTTGCATTCTACGGGGAACCATGATAGGAATACATTCAAAGCAGAGCACTTTTCTAAGTTTTCAGGGGACCTTTGTAATTGGCTCTGCCCTGGAGCAGGCTCAAGGTTCCATTTTGGACCAAAACTGTCTCGTTTTGCCCATACATGTGCCCAGGGCTAAATCGAAGGATTCTTTATTTGGGGCTTTGACTCTGCCACTCTGCCTAACTGGTGACTTTCCTAGGTGATGGTTATCAGTGCATTGGGAAAAGGAATTCTTCAGCATTCTTTAATCTGATAGGATTGTTCTACAGCCCATCTCACATGCTAGAGCCTAACCTATGTGGAATTTGGCACAATAACTTTTTTTAGACAATATCCAAGTAGATTTCTTTCTTTTTTTTTTTTTTTTTTTGAGACGGAGTTTCGCTCTCGTTACCCAGGCTGAAGTGCAGTGGCGTGATCTTGGCTCACCGCAACCTCCGCCTCCTGGGTTCAGGCAATTCTCCTGCCTCAGCCTCCCGAGTAGCTGGGATTACAGGCACGTGCCACCATGCCCAGCTAATTTTTTGTATGTTTAGTAGAGACGGGGTTTCACCATGTTGACCAGGATGGTCTCGATCTCTTGACCTCGTGATCCACCCGCCTCAGCCTCCCAAAGTGCTGGGATTACAGATGTGAGCCGCTGCGCCTGGCCCTCAAGTAGATTTCTTATGAGAAGCTGTGATCCAGAGTTCCAGTGCCCTAGTTTCTATCCACATAACAAATTATTTTAATCAGGCTAACTGCCTAAAATGATCCAGGACAAAAGATAATAATGAGGGATCTTGTGTTCAGGAAATCTGTTTATATATGGAAGAAATTCCTTGACCTTGTTTGTTTTTACTTTTTTTTTTTTTTGAGATGGATTCTCACTCTGTCGCCCAGGCTAGAGTGCCATGGTGGGATCTGGGTTCACTGTAACCTTTAACTCTCCAGTTAAAGCAATTCTCCTGCTTCAGCCTCCTGAGTAGCTGGGATTACAGGCACCTGTCACCACGCCCGGCTAATTTTTGTATTGTTAGTAGAGTTGGGGTTTCACCATGTTGGCCAGACTGGTCTTGAACTCCTGACCTCAGGTGATCTGCCCACCTCAGCCTCTCAAAGAGCTGGGATTACAGGGGTGAGTTACCATGCTTGGCCCTTTATTTATTTTTATAATCTTCTTAGAGCCAAATTTGGGTTTCTGGGGAAAACAGACCCCCCTGAAATCCACACCTAGCTTCTCTTTTCTTTGTATGGATCTGAATGTAATGAGAATGTACATTTTCTGAGTGTAATTGGAGCTGATGATAAATTTTGAAATTGAAGGCCAGTCAATTGCGATTCTCACAATTTGGTTTACCTTAAACATGCCTGAGTGCTGGAGTTGAGGTGAAAATAGGCCGCCATGATCGGGCAGCCTAAAAGTTTAAACTGTCTGAGCTTCGAGTGCGTAGGTGGAGCTCCCTTTCACAACCACCAATGATTTTCCCCCTCAACTCCCTGATACCACCAGGCAGCTGCTGGCACCCGTTAGGTGGTTCTAGTTGAGTCACAGGGAGGGCCTGTCACTAAGAGGGGGTAGTAGGCAAGCAGTTCTGAATGATGGGGAGGGGAAAGGGAATCACAGTGATAGCCAAGCTAGTGTCATTGTTGTCACCCAGTCTTGGAGCGCACTGTGGCCACTTAGGTTCTAAGTAAAGTTGCTCATATGTTTAACCAGGTTTTATGTCTCAAACAGGAAATTACCATGGAATTAATCAGAGTAATTTACTTTGTCTTTCAGATATGGGCACTAGGAAAAGGCTTCTTCCATCAAGCTTAATCGTTTTGTTATTCATTCAATGACTTTCCCTGCTGTTACCTAATTAGAAATTAGATGGAACTGTGTTTTTCTGCTGTTTTTTCAGTTTGCTGTTTCTGTAACCATATTGTATTACGTGTCAAATAAAGTCCAGTTGGATTGCAGAACAGATGCTCTCTCTTGTGTATATGAACAAAGTGAACATAAATGCAGTCTCCTCTCTTCCAAGGCTGAAAGCTCAGCTTTCCAAAGTGAAATGTTTGTTCATCAGGGCCAGAGCAGGTTTGTCCTGTGGGTGCATTACTTAGTCATGAGGAATCCAGCAGCTCAAGGCAGAGTGTGGATCGCTGGCGCTCAGAACAGCAGTCAGCCCTGCTTTCTCCTCCTGTGTGACAGCAGCGGGCTGCTGAATGAGAGGACCACGTGGGATTCAGTCATCAAAGCCAGTTCTGAGTCCTGGTTCCGCAGCCTGGTTACTAATGGTAATCTTGGAAAAGTTGCCTCTCTCCTCTGAGTTTTCCTCCTCTGTACTGTGGGCTTCTCAGGACTGAGTGGCATCACATGGGCACAGAGAGAGGCTTTGTGAAATGTAAAACCACTATACAAATGTCAACTTTGGTTGTGTATGACAGCAGTCCCCAGCCTTTTTGGCACCAGGGATTGGTTTCATGGAAGACAATTTTTCCATGGACCGAGGTGCAGGCGTGCGTGGGGATGGTTTTGGAACTGTTCCACCTGAGATCATCATGCATTAGATGGATCCGTAACCGAGCTCCCTGACATGCACAGTTCGCCATAGGGTTCAAGCTCCTGTGAGAATCTAATGCTGCCACTGATGTGACAGGCACAGCTCAGGTGGTAATGCTTGATCACCACCCTGCTCACCTCCTGCTATACAGCCAGGTTCCTAGCAGGCCATGGACTGGGATCCACTCCGCAGCCCAAGGGTTAGGGACCCCTGAGTATGACATTTTGCTATCTCTTCTTAGCTTAGAAAAAGATAGATATAACATTGGCTGGCAAAAGGACAATTTATGAACTCAAGTGCAAAAATTGATGTCACACAGCATGGTGGCCCACACCTGTAATCCCAGCACTTCGGGAGGTTGAGGCGGGCAGATCACAAGGTTGGGAGTTAGAGACCAGTTTGGCCAATATGGTGAAACCCCATCTCTACTAAAAAATACAGAAATTAGCTGGGTGTGGTGGCAGGTGCCTGCTCACAGTAGGACAAGAGTCCTCCCAAGGATTCTTGCTGCTTGGGAGGCTGAGGCAGGAGAATTGCTTAAACCCAGGAGGCGGAGGTTGTAGTGAGCCAAGATTATGCTACTGCACTCCAGCCTAGGTGAAAAAGCGAGACTGTCTTAAAAAAAAAAATTGATGTCACAGTGGCTTATGCCTGTAATCTAGTCCTTTGAGAGGCCAAGGTGGGAGAATGGCTTGAGTTTAGAAGTTAAGAGACCAGCCTGGGCAATATGGTGAAACCCTGTCTCTACAAAAAATATAGCCAAGCGTGGTGGTGTGTAGCTGTTTGGGGGACTAAGGCGGGAGGATTGCTTGAGCCCAGGAAGCCCGGGGTTGTGTCACTGCACTCCAGCCTGGGTGACTACAACCCTGTCGCAAAAAAAAAAAAAACAAAAAAATACGGATGTCACTTAAAATTGAATTAACAAAAGAGTTCAGGTTTCCCTCACCCTCACCACCCTTCATAGTTTGTTTAAAATATCTTGGGTGGGGATGGAAGGAATTGTCAGTACTAATACTAATTCAATAGCTAATAATAAAGACTTTTTAAGTGAGAAGCAATATAGTTCGTTGCAGTGGTTCTCAAAGTATCGTCTGAGGATTCCTGACAAGGGGGTACCTGAAACCCTTTTAGGGGTTCATGAAGTTCTTCCAACTGCAAGTCTATTTGAAAGCAGTTTTTCTTTATACTCAACCAAAGCAGTGTGTCTAATGAAGAAACCGACTTACAAATCCAACTGTCTTCTATTAAATCAGCTGTCAAAGAGATTAGCGAAAATACAAAATAATGCTAGTCTTTTCACATTTTTTGTTTTGAAAAAATAAAAATATATTGATAAGCGAAGGCTTTTTATTCTTTTCTAGTCATTTTTTAAATTTCTGGGGGTTTTCTTTGTGGGGCAGGGGGATTTGAGACATGATCTTGCTCTGTCCCCAAGGCTGGAGTGCAGTGGCTAGATCACAGCTCATTGCGGCCCCAACCTGCTGGGTTCAAGTAATCCTCCCCACTCGGCCTCCTAAGTAGCTGAGACTACAGGCTTGCACCACCACACCCAGCTAATTTTTTTTTTTTTTAAACAAAGCCTTGCTCTGTCACCCAGGCTGGAGTGCAGTGGCACCATCTCAGTTCACTGCACCTCTGCCTTCCTGGTTCAAGCAATTCTTCTGCCTCAGCCTCCAGAGGAGCTGGGATTACAGGCGCCAGCCACCACATCCAGCTAACTTTTGTATTTTTGTAGAGACAAGGTTTCACCATGTTGACCAGGCTAGTCTTATACTCCTGACCTCAATCCGCCCACCTTGGCCTCCTAAACTGCTGGGAATACAGGTGTGAGCCACCTCGCCTGGCCGCATGACATCAATTTTTAACTTGGGTTTATAAATTTTTGGTAGAGAGAATCTTGGCCAGGCATGGTAGCTCACATCTGTAATCCCAGCACTTTGGGAGGCCAAGGTGGGCAGATTGCTTGAGTCCAGGAGTTCAAGACCCGCCTGGGCAACATGGTGAAACCTCGTTTCCAAAAAATACAAAAATTAGCTCTGCATGGTGGCATGTACCTGTAGTTGCAGCTGCCTGGGAGGCTGAGGCAGGAGGATTGCTTGAACCCAGAAGATGGAGGTTGCGGTGAGCCAAGATCATCTCACTACACTCCATCCTGGGCAACAGAGGGAGACCCTGTCTCAAAGAGAGTCTCACTATGTTGCCCAGGCTACTTTCTCAGTTCTAGATTCCATTATGGTCAATATTTATAGATGAAAACCACATAAAACTCTTTGGAGTCCTCAGTTTTTAATATCATAGAAGGTTCCTGAGACTGAAATGTTTGAAAACTTTTATTTAATTTAGTCATTAAGAACTTCAAAGTCTGGCCGGGCGTGGTGGCTCACACCTGTAATCCCAGCACTTTGTGAGGCCAAGGCAGGTGGATCACCTAAGGTTGGGAGTTCAAGACCAGCCTGACCAACATGGAGAAACCCCCATCTCTACTAAAAATACAAAATTAGCTGGGCGTGGTGGCGCCTGTAATCCCAGCTACTTGGGAGGCTGAGGCAAGAGAATCACTTGAACCCGGGAGGTGGAGATGTGGTGAGCTGAGATCGCACCATTACCTTCAGCCTGGGCAACAAGAGGGAAACTTTGTCTCAAAAAAAAACCAAAAACAAAATAAAACAAGAACTTCAAAGTCTAACTTGGAACAAAACTGGCTTCCCCACTAAATTACCACAGTACCTAATATGTAGCTAGCTCTCAAATGGAGGCAGCTGCTACTGTTCCTATTTGTATAATTTTGGGACTATGGTCCTCAGCAGAAATTCCTTCTTTTAAAGCCTTTCCAGGCAGCATTCAAACGCATACTTTCATTAATGAAGAACACATTTCTTTTTGCACAGATGACACATTACATATTTCCAGAATTCTGCTTGGGTTTTGATCAGGATTCTTGGTGTAAAGTACAGAAATCCAGCTTCTGCTTGGGAAAAGGGAAATTTCTTGGATGTCTATAGAGATCTGGAATGGAAAAGAACAAAGGGCTCAAGGCACAGCTGGATCTAGGAGTGAATAGAAGCAGGGAATCCATGCTGCTGGGATTCTCACTGCCTCTCTTTCACAGAGACCAGCTTCAGACATGACAGGAAAACTCTGGATGCCAACAACTCTGCCACCTTTCCTGAAGCTTCTGCCACAGGCAAGGGACTAACTCCAAGTTCATTAAGAAAAAAAAAAAAATTGGCCGGGCACAGTTGCTCATGCTTGTAATCCCAGCACTTTAGGAGACAGAGGCAGATGGATCACGAAGTCAGGAGTTCGAGACCAGCCTGGCCAACACAATGAAACCCTGCCTCTACTAAAAATACAAAAAGTAGCTGGGTAGTGGAGGGTGCCTGTAATCCCAGCTATTCGGGAGGCTGAGAAAAATTGCTTGAACCCAGGAGGCAAAGGTTGCAGTGAGCTGAGATTGTGCCACTGCTCTCCAGCCTGGGCAACAGAGCTAGACTCCACCTCAAAAAAAAAAAAATTAGGGCTGGGCGCGGTGGCTCAAGCCTGTAATCCCAGCACTTTGGGAGGCCAAGGCGGGTGGATCACGAGGTCAAGAGATCGAGACCATCTTGTCAACACGGTGAAACCCCATCTCTACTAAAAATACAAAAAATTAGCTGGGCACGGTGGCGCGTGCCTGTAATCCCAGCTACTCAGGAGGCTGAGGCAGGAGAATTGCCTGAACCCAGGAGGTGGAGGTTGCGGTGAGCCGAGATCGCACCATTGCACTCCAGCCTGGGTAACAAGAGGGAAACTCTGTCTCAAAAAAAAAATTAGCTGGGTGTAGTGGCTCATAACTGTAATCCCAGCACTTTGGGAGGCCAAGGCAGGTGGATCACAAGGTCAGGAGTTAGAGACCAGTCTGGCCAACATGGAGAAACCGTGTTTCTAATAAAAATACAAAAAAGTTAGCCAGGTGTGGTGGCGCGTGCCTGTAATCCCAGAGGAGGCTGAGGCAGGCAAATGACTTGAACCTGGGAGGCAGGGGTTGCAGTGAGCCAAGATCATGCCACTGCACTCCAGTCTGGGCAACAGAGGGAAACTCCATCTCAAAAAAAAAAAAAATTGTGGATGCACAATAGGTTTACATATTTATGGGGTACATGAGAAACTTTGATACAAGAATACAATGCATAATAATCACATCATGGGAAATGGGGTGTCCATCACCTCAAGCATTTATCCTTTTTGTTACAAATAGTCCTATTATCCTCTTTTATTATTAGATGTTATTTTTAGATGTAGAATAAAATTGTTATTGACTATAGTCACCTGTTGCACTGTCAAATACTAGACTTCATTCTTTCTAACTAATTTTTTGGTACCCATTAACCATCCCCTCTTCCTGCTTTCCATCACCCCACTACCCTTCCCGACTCTGGT